ATCATCCAGGTGTACCAGACAGACAGACAACCACTGCTCTGTCACCCAGACCCTGGGGTTCACATCATCCAGGTGTACCAGACAGACAGACAACCACTGCTCTGTCACCCAGACCCCACGGTTCACATCATCCAGGTGTAACAGACAGACAGACAGACAACCACTGCTCTGGTTCTTTCCCATGCCATCGCCCACTGCTTTCCTCCTCTTCGTGCCACCGTGTTCTCACGCGCCCACCGTGTTCTCACACGCCCAGTGTTTTCACACGCCCGCCGTGTTCACACACCCGCCGTGTTCTCACACACCTGCCGTGTTCTCACACACCCACCGTGTTTTCACACACACACCGTGTTTTCACACACACCCAGGAACCTCGGCGGTTACAGCATCGGAAGTTAGTGAACTGCTCTCCTCTCAACGTTTTCCTAGAACACATATCCCATCCTTGCCTACTGAAACATAACCCATAGGTGAGGAGTGACTTGAAGTAAAACCTTCTCACGACCTCCAGGGCTGCTTGGGGGAAAGCACTAGCTCTTCATCGGGTCCGCCAGAGGTCTGATGGGAACCGAAGCAGGATAAGTAGGAGCCTGCTGTCTCTGCTGTCTCTGCCTGAGCTACTTTAAACTCTGGAAAGAGCCCTGCTAAACTCGGACATGTGAATCATTCCGGGCTTTTCGATCTGTCTAATGTAATAATAATAATCTTCGATAATCTAAAGGTCATGCTTTACGCGTTTCTTTTTATTCTGCTCCAAGAATGAAGACACCAAGATAAAGTAAGATACAGTAAAAATCCCAGGAACAGGGAGTCCTGGAGGCAGGTTACTCTAAGGCAGCAAAGGAACATGATCTTACGGGGCCTGGGCTGGCGCCAGAACAGGACCACCAACACTACTGCCTTCTGCAGGAATAAGATGTTCCCTGAGCCAGTGGGACCCACAGAAGCAGGCCGTAGGGAAGGGTCGGTCCGCCCCGTCTGACCGAGCCTGCTTCTCATCACTCCTGGTGCTCTTTCCCTTTGTGATCCAAATTACCAGTACAGAACACCAGACAGGACGGTCATCTCGCTGCTTTTTTCATTAGGACCACAGTAAAAAAATTATTTTCTAACTCCATCACAACTTGATTGGCTTCTTGAGGTGGTGGATGGTTAGTCTGGTCCATTGGTCTCCCAGAGTTAGGCCGCTGTGATCAGTCTAACGTCTCTTTACTAAAAGAGCTAAGTCCTAAAGTGCTGGACGAGGAGGCATTGTTTTCCTTGTATGTTAACTTAATGTTAAAATACCCTGTTTTTCCTTTGATAGATGATCTCACACTGAAGCTCAATTGGTAGCCGACGCTGGTCTAAAATTTATTATGTTGTCCAAGCTGGCTCTGAACTCATGGTGATCCTCTAGCTTAAGCCTCCCGGTGCCAGGATTCCAGGTGTGCGCTGTCACTGACGGCTACAATACTTTTAGCTCACAGCATGTAGCACAGTGGTTCTCAGCCAGGAGACATGGGACGATGCAGAAGGACAGCTGTTGCCAAATGACTGGGAAGAGGGCTGGGAGCAGTGTGCAAGCCTGTGATCCAGCTCTCAGGAGACAAGGGGCTGAGGCAGGTGGATCTCTGTGAGTCTGAGGCCAGCCTAGTCTACATAGTAAGCTCCAGGTTTACACAGTGAGAGCCGTTTTTTTGTTTGTTTGTTTGTTTTTGTCCTCTAAAATAAAAACAAAAAACAAAACAAAGCTCAGAAGTGCTCCTGGGAGTCACTTCAGCTATGAGCAGTCTTTGGGTTTCCTACAAGTCTCACTGTGCTTCAGACTATCCTTTCAAGACCAGCTGTAGACCAAGTACCCTTAGAAGACAGAAACGACATTTCCTTCTAGACCCCATGGCAGGCTTACTTACTATACAGTATAATAAAGAAAAATGGCCACCTATGGAACACAGGTGAAGCAGGTTTGCTCACTGCCTCAGTTTTGCGGGGAAAATGATTTCCTGAAGATGGGGTTCCTCAGCTTTAATATAAGTCACTGCACATGCAGTAGTCCCAGCAGAGCCCCAGAGTTGAGTCCATAAGCTTTGAGAGATAATGATAATTGACATGAGTAAGAAGCCCCTGCTGCTTAATAAGAAATAAAAATTCCAGACTCTGGTTGTAGCCTAGTGGTAGAGCCCTGGTTACAGGCATTTCAGCCTTCGTCTGTGTCTGACCCAGGAGTCTAATAACTTCTGCTGGCACCCATAAACCTGCGACAACTAACTTGTGACACATATGGTGTGTGCTCTTTGTTATTTACTCCCAATAAAATGAACACACTTTGCCTGACAACTTCTTTATCTTTAGATAGTTATAGATACATATCCATACACATGAATTTTATTGATCAGGTTGATAGCTGATGGCCAAAATCATTACTCTATGTGTTCAACATTTCACTTTGTGAGTATCATTAAAATGTTTCTATTCTTATTTTACAACTTCTTTAAACAATCAGTTTTCTAATATATACCTGAGGTTTACAACATGATGCTGGGCAGTGCTGGCACACGCCTTTAATCCCAGCACTTGGGAGGCAGAAGGCAGCCTGGTCTACAGAGCAAGTCCTAGGACAGCCAGGGCTGCTACACAGAGAAACCCTGTCTCAAAGATCCAACACAACAACAACAACAACAAAAAACCAACATGATATCTTGGGGTAACAACAACAACAACAAAACAACATGATATCTTGGGGTACGCATTGTAAAATGCTTTGTATCACGAAGTAAATGAACATACTTACCATTCTGTGTAGTTATATCCTCACCTTATTCTATTTTGTTACCAAACAGAAATCTGGATTTTTAGCCCTTGGTTGAGTGGATATCATGAAAGACTCATATGGACTGGTGCTAGCTCAAATTCACTATCTCTATACTGAGTCTGAATCTCAAAGAGGCCCAGCAGAGTCTTTACAATCTTAATTCTAAACTTCTACCTCTGATTCCAAACCTCTTGCTGCACCATCACCCCCTGGATTCAGCTATCAAGCTGGGTGTGGTGGCATACGCCCATCACCTTAGCACCTGGAAGGTAAGGCCAGGAAATGTTTGAGATGGACTGAAGACCAGCCTGGGCAACACACCCCTACCTCAAAAGCAAATACACAACCAAAATAAAATATGACAAAATTCTGGGCTGGTCAGGGCGGCACACACCAGTAATCTCAGTACTTGAGAAGTTAAGGGAGGAGGGTCTCAAGTTTGAGGTCAGCCTGGGCTACAAAGTGAAAGCCTGTCTCTAATCTAACAAAAAATAAAAAATAAAAAACAAAAAACCCCAAACAAACAAAACGCAAGAACAAGAAGGAAGAAAAGGGAAGGCAGGAGAAGAAGGGAAGAAAAGTACAGCCACCAAATGAGAACTTCAGTACATTTGCCAATGTCAACCTGCACCCCATAATGCTATGTAGTATATGTATATAAACATCACATACCACACATTTCCAACACTTACAGGCTTTGGCTTCTCTCTTGAGTTACATTTTTTTAAATGTTTTGCTAGTTGGTCTTCATATACTGTGCTAAATAAAGAGAAAATTTGAGAGAAAATCTTAAATAAGCCTTGTGAAGTTACTGTTTCTAGTACATCACACACTCAGGCACACATGCACATACATGTACATACACACAACCCAAACAACAACCAAAACACCTGTCTGACCCCATACTTACTGTTTTGGATCTAAAGGACACAAGATTCTTTTCCGAGCATTTTCTTCCTAATAAATTAAAAGGGACACATTGATTTATATATCAAGTTTATCACATTCAGATGTTAGATAAACCCACAGTGCATCTCTATTCTCAAAACAAGGCAAGAAAATTTTAAAAGGACATAATGAAAAATAAGCAAGATCAGATCATGTTGGAAACAATAAAAAAAAAATCGGTCACAGGTTTCTGTATAAGAGAACAAATATTGTTTTGGCCTACTTATATAATTTTGCATCAGAGATAACACCTGCTAAAAATGGGTGCAGTTATTATATGTACCACTAAGAAAAGATGTTAACCATTTACTTCAGATTAACTAATAAAATACTGTATAATATTCATCATATACAAAATGATCTTTTGAAGTACATATAAAATAGGTATCAATGCTAAATTGTGCTATCTAACATACATATTACTTGAATACTTATTCATTTTGGAAAATGTTGCCCATTTAAATTATGTTGATTTAAAAATGCATATTTACCTCTAGGTTGTTAAAATATGGGGAAAAGCTAGACATGGTGGAACACACTTTGAATCCCAGCACTCCAGAGAGGCAGGCAGACTGCAAGTCAAAGGCCAGCCAGGGTTACATACTAAGACCTTGTCTCAATAAATATAGAAATAAAATATGAAAGAAAGTATGTCAGGAAAAATGAGGAATGGCACTTTAACATTTTAGAATGGATTATATTCACTGGCTTTGCAACTTTTCAATATGCTAATTACAATATTCTTAGTTATATACATTTAACCATAGGTACTTGGAGAAAAGAAAGGAAACCAGTGAACACTGGCAGTTCTGCTCTACAGACCCTATGAACAAAACACGATGGTACAATTATTAAAGCCAGGGGCCAGCAGGACTGCTTAGCTATGATTCTCAGTTCTAGCTATTGGCTGCTAGCTCTCCCTACAGAGGCTCACTGCCTCACGTGAAAGATGAGGATATCATTTACTTCCTAGAGTTTATGAAAATTGAATTTTTTTTTTTTTTTGTTTTTGTTTTTTGATTTTTCGAGACAGGGTTTCTCTGTGTAGCTTTGCGCCTTTCCTGGAACTCGCTTTGTAGACCAAGCTGGCCTCGAACTCACAGAGATCCGCCTGCCTCTGCCTCCCGAGTGCTGGGATTAAAGGCGTGTGCCACTACTGCCCGGCGAAAATTGAATTTTTAAAAGCAAAACAACAACCCTGCTTAGTATATAGTGTTAGCCACACAGCAAAAGCTGAACAAGTATTTACTCTTAATTTTTTCTCAATTTTATTTATTTCAATTAATTTCAGCATGTTCATGAATTTATACACACTGAATTTTAGGGAAACTTAAAATTATTCAGTATTTTAAAACTATTTTTTTTTTTCCTCATCTACAGATTTTAAAACTTAATTTCCGAGTTTGGTTCTTTGGTGGAGACTAGCTACTTGGGAGGCTGAGGCAGGAGAATCTCTGAGATCAGGAGTTCAAGACCAACATGGGAAATATAGCAAGATTCCTGCCTTAAAAACAAACAGGAAAATTATCATTCAAAGTAAGTAGGACTCTATTCTAACTTGCAAAGCCCAATCACAGAACACACACACACACACACACACACACACACACACATACACACACACGAGCATTTTAAAAATATATTATTTGAGTTTAGAAACAGTGTATATCATGTACTATTGTTATTGAGGTGTTTTCTTTTTTGGTGTAGAGGGGGATGAGACTGTCCTGTGATTTGTAGGTTACCAATATCTGTTCTCTATCCACTAGAAGCCACTAATATATTGCACTTATAATCGAAATGTCTGTGACATTACCAAGTGTCTGCTGGGGACATCCCCCCTACACACACACACACACACCAAAAAAAAAAAAAATACCAAAAACCAGTGCACTTTCCTTTCAACTTTAAAGTTAATTGTTATGTGCACTATTTTTTTTTCTTCTCCGTCCCAGAAAAATAATTGCAAGTCCATAAGGTACTTCTTGATGAAGTCTAAGAAAGAAAATTTCAAAGTTTCTTCCTGATGCATTCACAAGTGGTTATCGTTCACCAAACCATAACTAAAGCCCCGTTACTACGACCTAGTGACTTCAAACACCACTTTGTAAAAACAATCGCTTCCCATGAGGACAAGGGAGGATGGGTATACAGACGTCCGGGAGAGCGAGCATGGCAGAGGGCGCGTGAGTTCACGGAAACCGTGCTCCTCAGGAGGGCTCATCACGGCTGCACGCGGGGGTCAGAGCTGCCATTTACTTAAGGAAAGGCTGGGGAACCCATGGGACAGAAGCAGGAACCTGTCACGGGGGGCCGAGGCCGGGGTCCAGCACCCACAGACCCGGCATTTTGCAGGAGGGAAGGGCGGTACCGGACCTCCGCGGCTCCAGCGTGTTCACCACAGAACCTTTTCCCCGCGGCCGCCACCATCCTGCAGAAGCGCTTCTTCTTTTCCACAAAGTAGCTGCATCTGCCCTCGACTGGAAAGCCGGTGGCGTGCGAGGTCGGCGCAGGAGCCTCCATACCCCACGGTCCTTTTGGCCGGAGGGCGTCCGGCCTTCAGCCCGAGGCTGTCACTTTCCTTTGGTCCCCTTCCCTTAACAAACATGGCCGCCCGAGGAACGCGTGTGTGTGTAGGGTGGGCGTGTATCTCCCACCCGACGGGTTAATGACCGGACATACGCCATCACCCTTGCGCGTTCGCTCCCCCCCTGAACCGGAAGAGGCTGATGGTGGCTGCCGAGGTCCAAACCTCCTTCGTTCTCCGTGTTTATCGTTCCCCTTCTCCTCCTCCGCGGGCGCTGAGCGCCAAACTCAAACTCGGTCCGCACCGGCACTCCCTTCACGCTGGTTCGAGGGCCCGGGCCGGTGGGGCTTTGTCGCACACCCGTCGGGGCAGCGGTCCGACATGAGCCAGGTCCTGTTCCAGCAGCTCGTCCCCTTGCAGGTGAAATGCAAAGACTGCGAGGAGAGGTGAGGCCCGCGTCTCCCGGTGCCGGCGGGTGGCGGTTGGTGTCGAGCCAGGGCTGAAGATGGCGGCTGGGGGTTCGGTGGGGCCCGGGACGCGGGCAGGGACCCTGCGGGGACCTGATGGCTACCGCGGCACGCCGGCGGGTCGGCCGTTGCGGAGGGGACGCCAGGACGGAGGACGAGGAGATGGGAACCCGACTCCGCTCCCGTGCATGTCCCAGCTCTGAGCGGCACTGAGCCCAGCCTGCCCTCTCTGGGTGGGAGCTCTGACCCCCTCTCCGGGCCATTTCTGCCGAGCTTCACGGGGACTCCAGGGTCTGCCCAGCCCCTCACTCATCCCCGCCTTCGAAGGATATTGAGAGTGAAGCTTTAGAGCTTCAACTAAAATAATAATAACGACAACAACAATGATAGTAATTTCAGTCATATACTTCGGCCCAGCTGCACATCAGTTACAAAACAGAGATACATTTAATCAACCCCAAACACTGGAAAGTCAGGAACTCTGTTCATTCAATAAACACTGTGAACCCGTGAAGCACCTTGGACTCCTGGGGATCCCGTGGTCTTCATGGAGTTAACAGTGCCATGGAGGACATTAAGTCTATCTCACAGATAAATGCAGACTTTAAATGCAACTTTAATCACAGGTGATGCTATAACGGCTTAAATAGATTTGATTAGAAGTTAGGTGTGGGGCGGCGATGGCGCACGCCTTTAATCCCAGCACTCAGGAGGCAGAGGCAGGTGGATCTCTTGAGTTCGAGGTCAGTCTGGTCTACAGATCAAGATCCAGGACGGGCACCAAAACTACACAGAAAAACCCTGTCTCTAAAAACCAAAAATAAACAAACAAGTAAAATAAAATACGTTAGGTCTGACTTCCTTATTTTACCAATACTTTTAGTTAGGTCTGAATTCCCCATTTTACCAATACTTTTTTTTTTCTTAGGTGTTATTTAGTTTCTGTGAATGTTGTTTACTCATTTGTAAAACTGATTTAACACAGCTACCCGTATGATTACAATGAAGACCAGGTGCGAAAGTGTATGTAGAAACTGAAGGGTGAAGAAATGTTGCATGGAGACACTGATTTACTGAGTTTCGGGTATTGTTAAGCCACTGTACACAATTTAGAATTAGGTTCAGAATCAGCTGGCAAAGCATTCAGAATGGACTGTGAACATCAGCCATATATGGGGATCTGTAGATGAATTGTCTTGTTGTTGTTGACGACTTTGGCCGTTGAACTTATGCCCGCCCTTAGCATTCTGTACACTGATCTATAACTCCCAGCCTCTAATTGGTGGTTTGTTTGTGCTGTCCAGTATAGTGGCCATTAGCCACATATAGTTAACGAATGTGGGCTAATCCAAACTTACATCTCTAAGTGTAAAAATTTGTATTAGATTTTGAAGACATGCTAGTAACAAGAATGTAAATAATCTCAATTTTATGTTGATTATCTGTTACAGCTATTTTTAGGGTATATTGGGTTAAATGCTTTCAAGTTAATTTTACTTTCAAAGCTAGGGGTTTTCTAATGAGACTTAGTCAATTTAGGATGACATATATGACTCACATTTATAGCTTTTGTTTTGCTTCTGTTGGGCAATATGGGACATTATTTGTGATTCCAAGCCTGACACTCCCAACTCTTCTCTGACACATTACTTATATTGTAATCAGAGTTAATCATGTTAAAACACAATTTCAACTTTTAAAATTTGTTTAGAAACCCGATATTGCTGTCACCTGTGGCAAGGATCAACCCACTGTTCATAAATCAGGTTTTGCTAGAACACAGCCATCCTTATTTGTTACCAACTGTCTGTGGTTGCTTCTGCACAAGGACTTCAGTGAGTAATTGTATGGGGTATTGGCTGTGATGTAGCTCTGCGGTCTTCATGGTAGAGTGCGCGTCTGTCCTCAGCACTCAGTAGCAACAATGGGGCAGTTGTGACAGAAACTCTATAGTCTTCAAAGTGTAAAATGTTTACTCCCTGGCCCCTTGCAGAATAACTTTCGCAACCCCCACCTATAGGAAGAACAACCGAGATTTTTTTTGTTTGTTTGTTTTTTTTTGTTTTTTTTGAGACAGGGTTTCTCTGTCTAGCTATGGAGCCTGGAACTCGCTCTGTAGACCAGGCTGGCCTCGGACTCACAGAGATCTGCCTACCTCTGCCTCCCAAGTGCTGGGATTAAAGGTGTGCGCCACCACTGACCAGCCAACCGAGATTCTTTAGCTAAGTATTCAAGACCAGTTTACCCCAACAAATACTTGCGAATGCCTACTGTGTGCCAAGAACTATCCTAGGTGCTGAGGATGTGAAGCTTCCTTTCCTTTCCCTGCCAAGAGCAACAACAAGAACAACAGCCTTCATTGTGGTTCTCAGGGACCACACAGCCTCAGAGCTGAGATTTCCCTGGGATAAGCAACTTAGCACAGGGTACAAGTTTAGGTCTAGAGCTAGACGGCCTGGGTTCAAGTTGTTCCAATTCTGCCACTGATTGGCTGATCTTGGACAGTTTATTTACTTATTGTGTGTGCCTTTCTGTGGATTGACTCATGTCCTTGCAACATGCTATCATGGACTTTACCACTGTACTGTACATCCAACCCCACGTTTACACAGCTTATTAAAAAATTTTGTCTCATCTTTAAATTCAAAATAATAGTACCTACCTCATGGGATTCTTATTGAAGATGAGATTGTTTGATACATAAAAGTGCTTAAAATAGTAACTAGTAGATATTAAATATTCCCTCAACCTTAGTTATTAGTGAGGTGTGATTGCATAAGTAGTATAAAAAAGGAATAGAGGAAGGGCAGGCAGTTGAATAGGTGATAGTGCAACTCTCAGGGAACCCTGCCTGGAAGAAAATGGTGAGATCGTTAAACCCAGGATTGGATAACCACCTGCTCTTCTGTTTTTGATCCCTAAGCTCTCTGCCCAGTAGTCAGACAGGAACTTAGTTCCTCTTAATGGCTTGTATTCTCTGTACCAAAGCTCTATTCCTGCTCTTCCCTCTGCCTCGGATGTCCTTCCTTTCATCACTTCCAAGGTGTGTGTGTCTGTCTCTGGTGTATGTGCATTGTGCAATGTGTGTGTTGATTTGTGCGTGTGAGTATAAATGAGTGTGGAAGCCAGAGGTTGGCGTCAGGTATCTTTTGTTTTACTGGTCTTCACTTAAAATCCTTTTCTTTAATGTGTGAAGAGGAGGGTATGTGTGTGCCAGTGTGCTTGGGGAGGTCAGAGGACAACTTGCAGGAGCCTGTTCTCTTTTGACCACGGGAGTTATGTGATTCCAGGGATTGAATTTAGCCTGTCAGGCTTGGGGGCAAGTGTCTTTCCCACTGAGTCATCTTGCTGACCCTCCACCTTATTTTTTGAGACATGGCCTCATGGAACACAGTGCCTTACAAATTAATTGGCTAGGCTGGCTAGCCTGTGAGCCCTGGGGATCTCCTGACAGAACACTGTTCCACCCCCTAGGGTTACAGATGTATACAAACACATTGACCTAAGAAATTATTTGTGTGTGTGTGTTAGCATATGTAGTGTGTGTCTTAGTATATAGAGTGTGTATGTGTATGGATGTGTTTGTGTTAGCATATGTGGTGTGTGTCTTAGTATATAGAGTGTGTGTGTGTGTGTGTGTGTGTGTGTGTGTGTGTATGTGTGTGTTAGCATATGTGGTGTGTGTCTTAGTGTGTGTGGTGTGTTTGTGTCTTAGCATGTGGATTGGGGTGTTGGGGGGAAGTGAGCATACATGCTTAGAGAGTGTCAGGTCTTTGGGAGCTGGAGTCAGGCCTTTGTGGGTGCTGGGGTACAAACTCTGAGAGGACAAGTATGTGCTTTTAACCACTGAACTGTCTCTCTAGTCCCACACACAGCTTTTAATTTGGGTACTGGGGACTCAAATTCAGATCCTCATGCTTGTGTGGCAGGCACTTTACTGACTGTGCCATCTCCCCAGTCCCCAAGGTATCGCTTAAATCCCTTCCCAATAAGGATCTTTTAAAGTTGCCCAAGAAGGCCAGGTGTGATGGAATTCCAGCACTCAGGCAGAGGTACATGATTCTCTGTGAGTTTGAGGCCAGCCTGGTCTACATAGTGACAACTACAAAAATAGGTGACTAAGTAGAAATTAATTGTCATTGATCATTTATTAGGTAGCATTATGTAGAGAAGAGATGAGTTCAAGTTTGGGCATTGTAATATGCCTCAGGTTCTTCCTCTGTAAGAGAAATAACTATTAAGATTATTGTTGGCCGGGAGGTGGTGGTGCACGCCTTTAATCTCAGCACTAGGGAGGCAGAACCAGGCGGGTCTCTGTGAGTTTGAGGCCAGCCTGGTCTACAGCATGAGATCCAGGACAGGCACCAAAACTACACAGAGAAACCCTCTCTCAAAAAACCTAAATATAAATAAATAAATAAATAAATAAATAAATAAATAAATAAATAAATAAATAAATAAATAACATGTATATATACATATACATTTGACTGGGGTAATATTCTCTCTCTCCTTCTTTCTCTTCCTCT